TGGAGAGAGGTCTGATCAGCCCACAACAATGTCAGATACCCCAAGGTCAGTTTGGTGTGTGTGTGTGTGTGTGTGTGTGTGTGTGTGTGTGTGTGTGTGTGTGTGTGTTGTAGAAGTATGAGCTGATGTGGTCAGGAGGCAAATATAGAAAACTGTGAGCTTTGATAGCAGAGGCTGTAATAAAACTGTGTTACTTTTAGTTTCTCCAGTTCATTACAACCCTGATTACGTTTTTTAAATTTGAGGCACATTTATGGTCAAACTGTAACACCAGTGGAATGATCAAACACTGCTGTTGCTCTTTCTTTTACCTCAGGGCAGTCTCTAAATTTGCATTTTATGTTTCCCATGATGCTTAGCTGTTGGAGACTTCTTTGAAAAGTGCTGTGTACCAGGTGCGAATCAAGCCGGTTTCCCCAGCAGCCTGTGTGAACTCTGTGTGGGAGACGAATCAGGACAGAACAAATGCGAGAAAGGAAAAGACCTTTATGATGGCTACGACGGCGCCTTCAGGTACTAAAAACCCACCCCAAGCCCACTGCACCGCATCAGGAAATCTGGATTCATTCACTGAAGGAAGACATTTTTTACCCTCTTCTGTACAAACACTGCATTTCTTTAAGTCAGCGTTTGTTAAAGCAGCTTTGAGCAATATTTTGCCCTGACAGTGTATCAAATAATTTAAGAGGATGTTGTTAAAATATTTTCTAATATAGCAGAAACAAGGTTTTGTCCTGTTTAAAGGAGATTTTCCTTCCCACTGTTGCCAAGTGCTTGCATATAGGTGGTTGTCAGGTTATTGGAAGGTCTTTACCTTTCAATTTTCAGCAGTGGAAATTTCATACAGATCCAAATCACAGAAGCATTTCTGATATATTTGTGTATATGGGAAACATGCCACAGCTCCTCCAAATTATAAAGTATAAATTCTATTGAAGATTAATGCACTCACGCCACACTTGCATGTGTTTGTTTATCCGGTCGTTTCAGGTGTGTGGCAAAAGGAGAGGGAGACGTGGCGTTCGTCAAGCATTCTACTGTCCTCGAAAACACTGATGGTAAGACGAGTAACACCGGACTTTGAGATGCTCACCTTTAAACGTCTCCTATTTTAGGGAGAATAAAAAAAACAAACAAAAAAAACATGTTTACATTAAAGTCAGTCATCTGAATTGTGTTGTGTAGGTCTGCTGCCTTCAGATTTCCAGCTGCTCTGTCAGTCTGGAGGTAAAGCCGAGGTAACGCATTATAAATACTGCAACCTGGGCAGAGTCCCTTCCCACGCTGTAATGGTACGCCCAGACATGAACATCCATGCTATCTATGGACTTTTGGACCAAGCACAGGTAACGCTGTTCATCTGAATGTTCTTTGTGAGAATCAGAGATCCTTCAGAATAAGAGTTTGGGGATTTTTGGCAGTATGTTCAAGGATGCTCTGAGGTCTGAGAATTCAAACTGGGCATCCAAAAGCATGAATTACTCTGTCAAGCATGATTTTCCCATGAAATTTTTATATCCATGTGTTTCTTTGCAGACATATTTTGGCAGTGACACAGGTACTGCTTTCAAGATGTTTGACTCACAGGTGTACAAAGGTACAGATCTTATTTTCAAAGACTCCACTGTGCGTCTCGTGGGTGTTGCTGACAGAAAGACCTACCAGGAGTGGCTGGGCCAGGTCTACTTGGACTCGCTGGTTGACTTGGAGTGCAGCTCATCGAATGCAGGTAAAGCCAACATGCTAACCTCTGTATGTCAAGTCTGAAGCTCCAGGCACTAGCCTAGTGTAACATAAAGACTGGAAATGGGGAAACTAGTAGAAGTATGGCATGCTCACACAAGAGTTTAAGACAGATGATGGAAAATGAAATGAAACAATGCAGCGGCCTCTTTAAGTTGAAATGCCAGAGTGCAGTTGTCCTAAATTTCTGTCTTAAAGTTTGCAAGGAATAAAAAAATGCGTGCTTTGTATCTGATACAAAAAGTTCCACTGATGGACAAAAATAAACAGATTGAAGACAATGGAGATCTAGAGTTGAAGAAAACTTGTTCCAACTTAAATTTGACTAAAAGCCGGCCATCTGTCTCGGGGATTGCTTCATTAACATAAAAATAAGTCTCATGTACAGCCTCGCTAATATTTCTTGATCTCTCTCCTTTTCCAGTGGCGTCCTCTGTGTGGCTGCTGCCAACTGCCTTGTTCAGCTTCATGCTGACCAACTACTGGATGTAACGACAGCATGACAGGCCTACACGGCTACTCTTTTCCCCACTCCTTTCCCCTTTTTCGTTTTTCTGTATGCTCTCCTTTCTGAGACACAACTGTCACTTCTTTTCCTTTTTTTTTCATTCACCTCTTTTCACCACATTAATGTCCAGGCTTTAATTCTTCTGATTGCTGTCCACTCAACCCCCGCCACCATAAATGCATTCACTGCCCTGGGAGCCCTTTGCCTTTCTGTATTTGCCTGATTGTATGTTAATTAAACACACGAGAGGACGGCATGTCGGAGCTGCCTTCGGATGTGAGATGTAGTAGTGCTGATGCACAATGCTTCCTGTTTTTGTGGCAGAGGTATGAGTAAGCTACCAGTCGACTGTCAGCCAAATAGGGGAACGTGCTGCTGCCGCTTTGTTTACTAAAGGTGAGCTGCCATATCAGTGCATGTGCTGCCATCTGTTACTGTAAGTGGGTAATGCAGCACCGTCTCTCCAAATCTGGCTTTGCAAAGAAAGCGCAGTCTGACTTTTAAGCTCACGTGTGAGCCGTTAAAGATTTAAAACTGTCCTGACCTAGCCAGTTATAACTGGATTCACACCGGCTTTTTAGTTTCCCAAGGTTTCCTGTGAGTCCACAAGTCAGATTGCTGCTTTGCTGCCACTTGCACTGTAAATACTGCATATGAGCACAGCCTTTTTCTTGCTCCAGGCTGTCTCTACTGTAAGCTAATACCATATCAGTGAAAATGGACTAGTGTGACCTGCACACAGAGCTGTGCTGCGAATGTGTAATGACAAGCAACTCCATGTGCGTCCGTAGGCTGTCTGCTTCATGTATACTCCTCAAATGTTTAAATTTTAAGTCCTTAAATGATGCGATCAAGCCTGCACCAGTGCAGTGAAATCTGTTTTTTTCTTATTATTGATTGTAATCTGATGCATTTGATCGGGAACAGCAGTGTCAGCAGACAATACATGTTCCACCATCCAGCCATTTTCTGCACATTTTGCAGTTTATCCGTTTTTTCACAGATGGAGTGAATAAAACCAGCACAACCTGTCAGGTTCCAACAACTTTGGGGAGAACATGAAGGAGACACCCTGTGGTTTGTGTCGGAGGGTGAATGCGAATTTGTTTTTCTGGATGGTTGAAGTGACAGGAGTGTTGGTGCAAGACTTGTTTGGGTCATTTGGACTTTAAAACCTTGAAAAAATTGTTTCATTTCAAATTTTGTAGGTTTAGTCTGGTTAGGAAGGGGTTTGATTTTCCTTTAATCATTCCAGAGTGTGATCGCATGTCTTCCAACCCAAACAGCTCACTTACTCTCTCTTTAACAATGACTGTTTTTGCTCAGATTCACTGTACCTGTTGGATGCTGCTGCTGCTGCTGCTTGATGCTATTTCCTGTTGTTAACATGCTGATTGGATGTGTATTTTTCCTATGTTAAGAGATTTATTTTTATATGAAGTTCAGGTGCCATATCAGTGTATATGTACTGACTCATGTTGTCAGAAACCAATGCCTTCTCTTTCTGTGGATAAGACATGTATTTCTATGTGAAATGATGGAACATGTGACTAATATTTAGTTGCCAGGCCAGTGTGTCTGCACAAGTATTTCTAAATAAAGCTCTTTCTAATGAAATAAAGCTCTTTACTGCAAAATGCACTCTGTAGAGCCTTCTTTAAAATTGTCCAGTGTTTTTTTTTTCACTTTTCTGTAGGTGTTTCAAATTGTCTCTCCATGAGGATCTTTTTTGTGGCCACTTTATTAGGCACAACTGTTCAACACTGTTCAACACAAATATCTAACCGACTAATCACATCACCGTAACTCAGTGCAATTAAACATGAGGGAGGTGACCTGTTCAGGTTTAAACTGAGCATCAGATTTGGGAAGAAAGTTGATTTAAGTGACTTTTTGGTGCCAGACGAGCTGGTCTGAGTCTTTAGAGGCTGCTGATCTGCTGAGAGTTTTCCACACAACTATTTCTAGAATATAGAGAGAATGATCTAAAAGTATCCAGTTGGCAGCAGTTCTCTGGGTAAAAATATTTTTATTATTCAGGGGACAATAATTCTTCAGGCTGATGGAAGGGAGCAGAAAGAAAATAACTACTTTTTACAACCAACATTTGCAGCAGAGCATCTCTAAACAGATTACACATCAAACTTTGAAGCAGGTGGGCTATGCCAGCAGAAAACCAAATTGGGTGCCCCTCCTGTCCACTGAGATCAGGACAACCCCCCCCCCTCCCAAAAAACCAAACAAACCCAATAATCAATTAGAAAACAATGCCTGGTCTGGTGAGTCCAAAAATCTGCTGTGACATTCAGACGACAGGGTCCAAATTTGGTATAAACAATATGAAATTATGGATCCTTCCTGCCCTTATATCAAAAGTTCAGGGTGATGGTGGCGGAACGATATTGGGAGTTTTTGTGTGTGTGTGTGTGTGTGTGGGGGGGGGGGGGTTCTTTTTACACTTTGGGCCCTATAGGACAAACTGACCATTGCTTAAATGCCACAGCCTACCTGAGAATTGTTACTGACTGATGGCTGCTTCCAGCAGGATCAAAGACCATGTCACAAAGATCAGATCACCTCAAACTGGTTTGTTGAACGTGATGGTGAGGTCACTATACTCAAATGAGCTCCACAGTCATCAGATCTCAATCCAATGGACAACTTATGCCTCATGCTACCAGTAGTAGCAGCTAAGTGTAAAACTAGTGAAAGAAAAAACAAAACAAAACAAAAGGGGAAACAATGTCAGTGGCCTCCACCTGTAAAATTCCTACTCTTTTGGGGATAATTAGAGGGGCAGCAATAAGACTATTTCATTGACACCAAGGTAGCTGAAACTATAAAACCCTTCTACTACTAAACTGACCAAATCAATATCCCTGAAGTTTAATCAACTAATGCTGTACACCAATTAAAAAGTGTTCCTTTACTAACAAGTTATTTTCATTTGGTAGCAAGTGTGCTTTCCCTGATATGACCGGATTCCTACTGTAAAACTCACCCATTGATTGTGAGGTATAAAGTTTCTGGGCAATTGCGTCTCTGTACACCACTACAGCAGTTTAATACAATCAAGATGGGATTTAAGTGCAGACTATCAGCAGTTTTGAATTATAATATTTATTGATTGAGTCACATCTAAAAGGTCTTTTTACGCAGCACATCTCACTTAATATGAATACTTTTTTACTCTAGAAACACAGAGCCAGAAAAGGCTCTTTGGCAGGATGATGTGTTACAGACAAATGATTGCACAGTTCGCTACAAGGGATGAATGTCAAGAAGGCCTCATCAGAAGCCAATCTAAATCTTCTAAACAAAATGTTTTACTTAAACACAGCGTCCACGTCACCATCAGAAGTTTGTGGGAGGTAAAGAGCACACTTCAAGCTCCCACGTGTTTTCAGAAGTTTAAAAACACATTGATTTTTCTAACCACAGTTTGTTATAAACTGACCTTGCAGATTGCAAGTACAGACATTACCGACCACCTGAGCGCACCCTGATGGTGATGGTTCACCAGCACGCCGTCTCTGTGCCATGCTGACAATGTGCTCACACAATAGTTCTATTTAGTTCAAGCAGCAGCGTTTCGGTCACATCCCACAACCAGCTTGTCTTCTTCACTTCTTCACCTGCCTGGATCCGTCCTTCCAGCCTGACTTCACCTCATTCACAAACGTGTCTCTGACTCTCTTGAGGCGGCCACTGATCTCTCCCAGATCCCCGGGCACTTTGCTGGCCTCGTCCCGGACCTGCCGTAGCGTCTGGGAGCGCAAGGCCCGGTCCGAGGCGTCCCGTCCGGCTATCTGAGCCTTGGTGATAGCATAAGCTGTGATCTGAGCCGCCCTGCGAATCGGTCGAGACTCCGCCAACTTCTCAACGACGTGAAGGTTGTTGACGAGCGACGCTAACAGGCGAGCGAGCATTGTGGCAACTGGCTGTTAGCTTCTCCGTGTTCTCCCCGTGGGTTTCAGCCCTGTAAAGCCCACATACAAACCCATTATTGACCCTCGAAGTGTCGAGTACGTGGAGATGCAAGTTTAAGTACACAGAGAGAACTAGACGTACGTACCTCAGCTGAAGCAGGTGACCGCTGAGTGACAGTGGGTGACGTAACGCAGACTGTGGGAGGGATGAGGCTAAAGTCGGTTTCGAGCTCGTCGTTCAGTGTTTCTTAAAGAAACAGGATCATCAAACGACTGTTTTCTTGGATTTAAAATGTTTCCATTAAAATTCAATTAATTGCATTTCACAGAACTGAAAGCAGTTTTAAACAGTTTGCCATATGTGAACTTGGTTTTTGACTGTTAATGTGGACAGAGACTTGGCTCAGGGTTTCCTCTGCTGTCTTCCAGGGTAAATACGTTTTTACAGCTTTTCATACTGATTACATGGGCATTCATACCACAACAAAATACAACAAAATAAATACGCAGTTTATCCTATTTTTAAGATTTAAGACACACTTTTACTTTAATTTGTAATAAATAATTTGTAATAGAAAAAAATATTCAGCGTCAAAACACACAAGACATTCCAGATGCATAATATTAAATTTCCAAGGCATAACAAGTAAAGTAAATATTTCACAAATTTAAAAGGATGTAACTTGATTTAAGACGGTTGCTAGGATTTACAAGGCTGAATGACACATTCAAATTGGAGAATTACAGCCTTAGTCCTTAGACTATTTTCTTTACATTTCTGCTTTAAAAAAACAAGAACAACAACAAAACTGTCAATAACAGTAAACTACCGTCTTTAGAAAACAAAAAGACATATTTATATATATTATGTATAAGTGACAAGAAAAAGGGAACTTAGTCCCACACGGTACCGACCAGAATCAACCAACGTGAATCCAACTTCAGGTAATTTTTCCGGACGGGTTTTGTAGTAACACCACCCGGTAAACGACATCCGGTCGTATCTTACGTATATCCGCTTTCAAGAGCAGATTTCCTGCTCGTTTCTCATTTTGCTTCCCCCCATTTTTTGCTCGCTGGTCTTTTAGCTTCACTCTCGTCAGACTCGGTACTGCAGCCATGCGGGTGTACGTGCTGTTCGCGGTGGCGGTGCTCTCCCTGAGCCCGGCGGCGGTGAGTGGAGCCGAGAAGAAGAAGCTGCAGATCGGCATCAAGAAGCGAGTGGACAACTGCCCCATCAAATCCCGCAAAGGAGACGTGCTGAATATGCACTACACCGGAAAGCTGGAGGACGGCACCGAATTTGACAGTAGCATTCCCCGCGACAGGCCTTTCACCTTCACCCTGGGCACCGGCCAGGTGATCAAAGGCTGGGACCAGGGCCTGCTGGGCATGTGCGAGGGCGAGAAGAGGAAGCTGGTCATCCCCGCCGAGCTGGGCTACGGAGACCGGGGAGCCCCTCCAAAGATCCCCGGCGGAGCGACACTGATCTTCGAAGTGGAGCTGCTGAGCATCGAGAGGAGATCCGAGCTCTGACGAAGAAGAAGGACAGCTTTGAGAACGGTAAGATGTTAACACACCAGCCTGAGGGGCAAACAAAGTCTGCAGAAAGGATTGTTGCTTTCAGTGGTCATTCACCTAAAAGTGGCCCAGATAACATTTTAATAAGTTCAGATCCAGCTAGAAAACAACGTGCAGAGATTTTGGTAAAAGAAACAGCCTGACGGCGGGGTATCTTCTGCATTTTTAGACGTTTGTAAGCATTAATATCCTTAAAGCAAAAACACAGAGCTATATAACTAATGTAACTTATACATATGAAAAATCTTCGGGATTTGCTTAGGGGATGATGTCCTTGGACACACACTGACTGGGTTTTGTTTTGGTTTTTTACCCCGACTATAACAATATGCTCTTTAACTTTATTTTTCCAGGTTCCAGGAGATGCTGCGGCATTAAGTGGAGCCCAAGTGACACCTGATGAAGATTAAAAGGCAAATGTGAAAGAAGAGTCAGCAAAGCTCCTGTTTTCCTTCTACCAGCTTTGCTTTTTATGCTCTGATTCATTGAATTGAAATTGAGAAGATGCAAGAACTGGCTGTTTGTACCAGCTAAACTGTAGAGTGAGGGTTGACAGGAGCAGCTACGTCCTGTATCCTGACTGTGCTGTGCCGTCTCTTCATCTCATTTCATTTTAATTTTCTGTAAGCGGGTTTATTCACATCTGCACACTGTTTTTGTTATTTGGGGGGTTTTGTTCAGAAAATAATTTAGTGTGAAGTGGGAGTCGGGTCAGACTAGGATCATTTTTTTCACTGTAAGAATTTGAATTCTGTAATAAAATGTTTGTTAGTACTTTTCTTGTTTTGATTTCTTTATTTTTTTTACTACTTGAAATAAAAGGACTGTGCATATATTTTTTAGCTAACCCCCAGTTATTCTATTTTAATTTCAAGCAGACTTGCAATTGTTTTTTATGGTCTTTAGCAGTAGTTCTGCAGGCTTTCTGAAAGTCTTACTAGCATCCTGTTGCAAACATGCAAATTTTGTTTGCGCTATTCTAATTGAAACTAGAAAACTCCAAAATGGAAGACTCTCAGTAGTATGTAGTGTTAATTCATCCTGACAGACAATGGAGCTAAAGGCATGCAAAATCCAAAAAAAGAGCTCTGAATGTCTGTTAAGGAGCCTGGAGACTAGTTTGCCTATGAGAGCTCAGCTTCATAAAAACAATTAATAATAAGTTCTCTCTCACACACACACACACACACACATTTTCTATTAACAAAATAAGCTACTTGGAAAAAAAAAAGCAAAAGAAGGAAGGTAAAGTGGGGCACTGATCCTTTAGTAGCCAATAATAATAAAAGTGCAGTAGCCAATAGCGTGGCACCACATCTCACACAACTCCAGTGTCATGTGACTACTGGATCAGTTTAACTAGTAGCAAGCGTTCAGTCTTTTTGGTGATCAGTTTATACATATATATATATATTATTATATATATATATATATAATATATATATTATATATATATATATAAAGACTTTTAAAACCGTAATATTAATGAGTTAAAATCTCTATTTTTGGCATAAAAGCCAAATTTGCTGTTTTATTTATTTATTTTGTTGACTTTGAGTTGGTGTGAACTTTCATTAAAATACATATTTTAGTATGATTTTAAATAAACAATTGAAGTTCATTCGTGATTATACACTTGCACTTGTGTAATAGAAACAGGACTCAAAATAGTATTTTAATGTTTTTATTAACATTTATTACATTTCTTTTTTAGGCTTTTGGGGTTTTGTGATTTATGCAAATAGCTCTTTAAACTGTCACAGACAGTCTGCCTGCTGGTAACAGTGACTGTATTTTGGCAATGATTGAATATCAACCGATGACTTTACAAATCACTGTACGTGTTTTCTACAGTCAGTAATACCAACAGGCGGCGCCATTAACGCGAGCTAGAAGCTGCTGTACCCGGACTTTTTCAAAGGACGGACACATGAAACGGAAGCAACGTCGTCGCTTTTTTATTTTATTTTTTATTTTATAAACTTTATTTAACAAACAATTAGTATACAACATACGAACAGATGAAGTATACAAAACAACAGAACATGAACACACAAAGCCAGGGGTAAAAGAAAAAGGTAACAATTATAAGAATACACACAAAAATTCACATACATAAATTTGTTGGTGGAGTCTGATATTGATTGTATGTACATTTCCACATCCTTAAAATAATGACAGAAATATGGTGTTTTATTAGTAAACGTACATTTATGGATAAAAAATTTAGCTAAAAGTATTAACAAATTTATCATAAAAAAACATTTATCATACTTCTTGGGGAACTTAAAGAAACAGAATAAAACATTTTCCCATCGTAAAGAAAACTCCCTAAAAATATGGACAGTAACAAACCTGCTACGTTGTCGCTTTTCCGGCATGCTCCTAGTTGGATGAGAAGGGTCCAAGAGCACCTGACTGCAGCCTGTTTTCATGAACAAATGTGCCATTAGTAATTTAATAATTCTAGGAATCAACTAGTCTGCTTACACTGACCATGTTGCCACTTTGTTTGCATTTTTTTTTATCGTGCTTTATGGCAGATAAACACATAGATATGTTTCTTTCCTGACCCTGGTTTAAGTAAGAGAGCTGGATTAAGTGCTTCTGTGGGCGACATGACACAAATATTCTCTAAACCACATTTTGCATTAGGATATGATTTATTGTTGGCATCAGAGGTGGAAAGTAACGAAGTACAAATACTTCATTACTGTACTTAAGTTTATTGCTTTATTGCTGTATTTTTTTTGTTTTTTTGCCTACTTTCTACTTCTACTTCTTACATTTTAGCATTTGTACTCCCTACATTTTCAAATCGGGGTCGTTACACTTGTTATTTAGTGGTCAGTTTGAAACGTATTTGTTTTTTGCTTGTTATTGAACAAATTTACTTGACTACTTTTCACTATCTGTAATATCAATGCACATTGTTCTGTATTGTACTGCATATTGTACTTTATTGAGGTCTCTCATTCTACCTGCATCAATGTTGTAAAGTTCGTTACAAAGAGATTTATATATTTATAAATACTTCTATTCTCTACTGCTTTTTTATTGCCTAGATTTTAGTTAGCCTTTATTAAACTGTATGTTATACACACATGTATAACATACAATACCACATTTATTTGGTGTGGTTATTTGAAATGAAAGTATCTTGTAAAGTATTTTTTTTAAATTAAGACCTTTCTCCCCAAATCTACACTCAACAAAAATATAAACGCAACACCTTTGTTACTGCTCCCATTCCCCATG